TAAGACCTAGGGAGGTTAGCTAATTAGGTTAATTGGCTTTGAATAATTTTCTTAAGTCATGACAGCTTTAGTCAAGAGGAAAGGGAAGCTAAACTTAGCCTAATCATGAGAAGATAATGAATCCAAAATCAACTAATCTCTAGGGTTCCATTATTATGAAAAGGGAAGTTCATTTCACTCACTTTCACTAGCATTTTAATTACTTGCACATTAGGTAATTAGTTTAGATAGTTAGCTAGGTAACTAAATCCCTACAAACTTTGATTGATTTATTTCACTAGATAACTTTCAATTAGATTTAAAACCATTCCTTGGGAGATGACCTAGGGTTGGCCCTATATTGCATTAGGCTTAGCTTTAGTGTAATTTTGAAGATAAGCGACTAATTTCCTATCACCAATGCCTGCATTAATTCCTGCTTGTTGTCTTTCATGAGGCCCTAGATTTGAGCCTATTTCTAAAGGAGTGCTTCTCAATGATGCAGCTAAGTTCTTCATGGCATCATTCAAAGCCTATATTATGATATGCTATCATTCTATCTCCCTACATTCTGACATTTCTAGGGATAGAGTAAAGAATTTTTAGTTCTCTTTCAGTTGCTTATCCATCTAGTCTTGAATTCCTTGTAGCACTTCTGCCACAAGACTGGTGGATATGATTGGTGGGTTTGCTTGTCTACTTCTTAGCTTTGAACTGAGGCTTGTGCTACTACTTCTTGCCAACATCAGTACTATGTGCTCATAATGTTCAGCCACCTCAGCATCAAGTATCAAGTGTTCTGACTCTGTGTGTGCAGAGGTCCTTCTGATTCATGAGAATTAGCACTTGTTTCATCAGTTCTTTTGTCCTTTCTTATCTTTGCTATCTTTGCTACAAATGTCCCACCAGGCATGCCAAACATTGTTCATGTGTGTGAACAACAATTACCAAGCATACCAGAGACATTGAGCCTTAATTGATAACAAAAGGGTCCTAAGCTCCCTTACCATAGTTCACTCAGATATAAAAGATATGCAAGACTTAGTAGAACAAGTGTTTTTTATTTTTATTAAAATGTGAAAAGATTACAAGTCGATAAAAACTAACTGCTAAATCTAAAAAGCTATGAGTGTAGAATGCAAGTCTTTATTGAGTGTTGATTGTCTTTCTTCTGTATTTTCATATTCTATTTAGGCCCCGTTTGGTAGCTTGGAATCATGGAGAAAGAAATGGAATTGGATATGGAATCTGTTAACATGTGTGTTTGGTATGCAATAATTATGATTCTTTAGAATCAGGATTCAAGAAAATTTGGCAGAATCCAATTCCATCACATGCATCATGGAATCCAATTCTATGGTTTCCTTTCTCCAGTTTGCCCCTTCTCTCTCCTCCAATATAATTTTTTTTAATTTTAAAAAGGACACTTTAGTCTTTTCTTATTTTAAGTACTTCTATTTTATTAAAATTATATCAGGATTCCATCATCATACCAAACACACTTTTAAATCCAATTCTATTCCAATTCAATTCCAATTCTGATTCCGATTCCGATTCTGATTCCATTAAAAACTCTTCTATCATACCAAACATGGCCTTATAGTGTCAAAGTGATAGTAGCCTCTCTCACTTAGAATGTTTTGCTGAAGAATTAGGGATCCCGTGAAACTCATGGCACAGTCTTTACTTAATGTTCTCTATTTTTGGTAATCAAGCCATCTCATCGAGGTACTTGGGCACGATGTCTGTGGATTCTTGAATCACTTGGGATAGTGTCTTTATGTGCCAACAGTCCAATATTTGCAACTAGTGAGATTTCAACATGTTCATCCTATTATGGCCTTCTATTGAGCTTGGGGCCAGCCTCTTTGTTCAGATTGGGCCTGACTCTTCAGTCACTCAACCTAAATAGATTTATGACCTATTGAGTAGTGTTTCATATTTTGGCCCAAACATTCAAAACTATTTATCATATTAGATTACCATATGATTCATACCTGCCAATGTCCTAAACCATCCTATCAATGGTTTGTTTCTATTAACATTTTATTTCTTTGAATAGTGGGTTAATATTTCTTCACTTTAGCTCCAATTGGCATTGTGGAGTATATATCTATAAATATCAGTATGCGTGCATGAGACCTGTGTGAGGCATTTAAGTTCTTAGGCAACTCTCTTCCTTTCTTGTGTTTTTGCTTCTTGAGTTCAATTTTCCCTTTGAATTACTTCTATTGCTTTGTTAATCTATTTATTTTTACAAGAGGGGTCCGCTTGATCCTAGAGAACTCTAATAACTATACTGAAATTGCTTTTAAGGATATTGTCTTTAGGCATGATTTGAAACAAATTTTATATTGCTACTGCCAGCACAATGTTCCTAAGTTAAGTGGCATAAGAGGTGCACGTAGTCATGAAGACATTATGAGCAAAGACAACCACCTTCTTGAAGTGCTTGCATTCTTTGTAGTGAGCCATGGGCTCTTTGTTCTTAATCTTTGATTATGTGTAACCTATCTTACTGTGTTAAATCTAAAGTTTTGTACACAAGAAAAATGAGTAGAGAGGGAGGGAGGAAGGGGGTGGAATAGATGGTGATGGAAAGAAATCATATATCATGAATTTTGACAGATTAATCACTATTGGGCCTACTAAGATAACTTTGCAAGTATTCTTACCCTCTCTCTTTTTTTCTTTAGGGTACTTGATGGTTTTGGCTGATAACTTCATAAGTATTTTTACCCTTTTTATCAATCGACATGGCAAACATAATTAGCATTTAACATTAAAAACTAATGGTGTGAAGGCAAGTTGATGGTTTGGTCACTTTTGCACTAGTTTTAATAACATTATAGTTATTTTTGCCTCTTTTTCTCACTTTATGCTATTAGATGCTCTTGATGCACCACTTAGAGAGTATTTTTGCACCTTAACCTAAATTTTAAATAGATAGATATTAGTTTGAATTTAAATATGATTAGATTTGAATTTTAAATAGATAACTTTTTTTACATAAAACTAAAAATTAATATTTTATTTCACACCTAACTCTACACATGAATAATATATTTTATATACATCAAAAAACAATAATTATTTTGAATATAACCCAAACTTGACACTAGAGCACAGAATTATAGAAAAAACATCCTAAAATATAGAATTGCAATAATCTTAAAAATGGATAGGTGGTATTTCTCTTGTGGCCTTTAACCCTGTATATATAATGATGAGTTATTGGACCATTCTTTTGAAATGAAAGTTGATAACAAAAATCATTACGTCAATAAAAAAATTTATGATACTAATTATGTTTTTAGACAAATTTCTAGGACAAAATTACCCATTTACTTCATAACAGGAATCAACACTAGTCTAATGTTACTATGTGATGATATTGCACATTTTTTGAAACTTTAGCATAGCATTGACTCAATTAAAAGTTAGGGTGTGTTTGGTTCAATGGGAGGAGAGGTGATGGAGGGAGGGAAGGTGATAGAGGGAGAGGATTTTAATATTACCTTATTTAGTTTTGTTAGAGGAGAGGTGAGGGGTTTTTAATAATCCTTTATTTGGTTTAGGAGAGCAAGGGTGGTAATAACTAATTTATTATTATATCTCTATACATCATTTAAAATTTTGTTAATTGTTCCTTGTAGAAAATAATTTTATAGCTCAATTTAAATTGCATATTTTTTTAAAAAAACACTCTCATCCTATCATATTGTCAATTTGTGAATAAAAAATTAAATAAATAATTATAATGATAACAATTTTTTATTAAAAAATAAATAACTCCCTTAAATATATAATAAAATATGATGACTTATAATTTTTTTTTAAATTTTAATGAGGTCAATCGAGGTCTGGGATTAAAGCACAATATAATATGAATGAGAGTTTTTTTTTTTAGTTATGGGTTTACTTAGAATATTTAAAAATAGTTAAGGACAAAATAGTCAAAAAAATTAACTCCACTCCAAAATAGCCCAATTTGGAGGGGAGCAATATGAGGGAAGTCCCCTCCAAAATTTATTAACCAAATGAGGGCTCCCCTCTTTCAAAACCCCCAAACCAAACACACTTTTAAGAATGTCATTTATAGATGGAGAAAAATCTTTTGACTAAAGTTATCTTTTAACGCTTAAAATTATTGTTATTTATAACATCTTTCATTTTATTATTAATTAACACACCACATAATTCTTATCTTATCTTCTTCTACGCATACATATTTATTAATTTAAAAATGCACTAGAAATATATGCACGGATTCATTAGAAGGCATAAGAGGGCTTCGATAACGGAAGTTAAGAAGATTATGAAAAAAGAAAAAATACACCTGTTGTCCATGTGGAGTCCATGTCAACACTTGTTAGTCGTTTGCTATGTTCGAAATTTTCTCATGTCATGTTGTTATTAATAACTTAACGATTTGAAATTGGTGCATTGAACTTGGAAGCAAAAGCAATTTAAAAATTCAGTTCTCTTTTCTCCTGAATTTTTTTTAAGAGTATTCTATATTAAAAGGTGGAGTAATATTTTTTAAATAATTTTGTAAAAACAAAATCATCCTTTCATTAAAGACTTTATCATCTGTTAATGTAAAATAATTATAAGGTTTACACATTGTGTTATAAAGGCATTTTAACTTGTTTTGGTATCGTTTCACTTCTAAAATCAAGCTCAATTCAATTCTATTCCTTTTAGCTTACTTTACTTTAGATAGTCAAAATGAATTAAAATGCCTTACTATCATTATACATAGGTCTCTCAACTAATGAAAATGATATGGGTATAGAAGGATAATTTTGTTCCTACATAAAATTATTTAAAGGAAATATTACGCCAACTTCAACACAGGATGCGCAACATGCCTTAAAAATTTTTTGGAAAGAAAATGGTCTATGGCCCTTAAAAATTTTGAAACCACAAAGGCTAAATGAAAAATCAGAAAAGCTTCAAGGGCTACATTTTAGTTGTCCCAAAATCAGATTAGACGAAAGCTAACTGCCTCGTCGACTCCGGATTCCGGATTCCGGGATTCCGCCCACTCCATAGTTACTGTTCCTATCCGTATCCTCCCGATTCGGCGAGTAGGTTCTTTCTCTCTCTGCCCAGGATCAGATACACTTAACAACACATACGTTACATACACACAGATTTTTCTCACCAATTTTGATTTTTCACTGTACTGCAGGGGGTCTATATATATATATATATTTTTTTTTTTTTCTTAGTTTTTTTTTTTTTTTTACTTTGTTCTTATAATCAATTCAGATTCTTTCTCACCGTGCTTCTCCATCCTGAGTACTTCACTCAGTTTAGGGCTTTTCCACTTTCTTGCAATACGATTTGTATCCTGATTACTCGATCTGAGCATGGAAGGTCGAGATTTGACATTGTCGCCTTCCTCTACGTCAACGGCCGCCCCTGCCCTTAGTCGCGATGGTTCTTCGCCGGCTGATGCCTCCGATGATGCTGGTTTCTCGGTTACTGTTGCGTTGGCAAAAGAAGCTGTCTTCCATTTTCAGTCGGGAAAGTTCGTCGAATGTGTTGAGTTCTTGAACCAGCTCTTGCTGATGAAACAAGACGATCCGAAGGTCATCTTTCTTTATCATCTTGCATGGATACTGATCCTACTAGCGTCGTTAACTTTGGTAGTCGCTTTTATTTTTCCTCTGGGCGAAATAATTCTGGAAATGGTTAACATTCACTTAAGCATTTCCATTTATATTTCTATCTGAATAGTTGTGACAAGAATCCATTCTATTCTCCTTCCCAGATTTTAGTAGGTGTTCATGGTATGTTCTTCCCCTTCCCTTCCTTGGCCGTTAGTGGTCTTCAATTGATTCATCAGTTCAAGTTTTCTTTTTTGTTAAGTGATAAAGTTCAATCTATAAAGTTCAATCTTGGTGAATCCCGGTTGCACTATCGGGCAGGCTCTTCCTGTGAAGTTTTTGCTGCTATAAAGGCAAATGCAAATGGATAGAAAGTTTTTCTTGGGGGAAAGCACTAGACGAATGGCTGAATATGAAGTGTTAAGCAGTTTGGATGTTTACATTGGGGAATGCCTCCGTATGTTTTGGGAAGAAAGATGTTTAGACGTCCTGCCCTCAGTTCTCTTTCAAACTTTAAAAAAGAAGGATGTTGGACTTTTAGAAGAACATATATTGAATCTAAAGTGGAATGCTGGAGTAATTTCAACAGAGAAACTTTGAGCTTGTGTTCTGTTCAAGGGCACACTTATCATTCGTTTGCACGTGCAACACTAAGTTAACAAAATAAATATCCACTTTTCTTGGAATTGGAGTTGTTGCAGCCTTGCATTGTGGATTAAGTGCGCTCTTGAAGCTGATTTTTCTACCAGAGTGAAAACAGATACTGAGCACTATAAGTTTTTTTTGTTTTAGATTGCTTGGAGCTGCCGTCCGTGCCTGTAGTTATCAAGAATTAATGTTCTCTTTTCCTGGGAGTCTTATATTTTAAAGTCTCATTGATATTAAATTGGCTGTAGGCAATATTAATGGTAGCAGAAAGATTTGTTATCATTCATATTCCAGCCTGTTTAATACAATTAGGGAGGATGGTCATGGTGGGATCATAGGTTTAATACGACCTACCAAGTCTGCTATCCTATTTCTGAATATATAAGATTTTAAATTTAAATACTCATGTTTCAGGTCCTTCATAATATTGCAATTACGAAATCCTTCCAAGATGTTTGCTTGAACCCCCAAAAGTTGTTTGAAGTACTTAATCGTGTAAAGGTAAGACTTGCCCCCTTTCTTTTTCATCATTCTCTCCTTGTGGTTTATATGGAAATGTTAGCTTTGTTGTAGCTTCTTCTTCTTTCTTTCTTTCTTTCTTTTTTTTTTTGGGGGGGGGTTGGTTGGCTCTTCTGGGAAATTAATATGTTCCTTATTCTTTTTTTGGTTTGGGATGTTCGGATTTTGTCCCCTGAAAAGTGTGGGTTTTAATGAATGATAGTTTTCTTATATGGTTTCCCAAACTCTACACGAGAAAGGGAATATAATTGTGTTGTCATCAGCAAATTAAAAATTGTAATGACAAAGTAATATGGTGATAGCTTAGTCTTATATTTTGAATTCTGCAAACTCAAAAATTGTGCTAACTCAAACTATCAGTAGTTCATGAGCCTTTAAGCAATATGCATGTGAACACATTTTCTTTTAATTTTGGGGGAAGGGAGTTTGAAATTTCTCAATATGAACCAGGCTGAAAATGGTGGGATGGAGGTTTAAAATTTTACCATGTGCCTTGGTCTAGATTGATCTTAAGTACCTTCTTGCTTCACATGATAGTAAATCCTAGTCATGGAGAATATTTCTTTCACTGGGATGAGAGAGCTGCAAAGATGGGGAATTTCTAATACCTGGTTGGCTTATTTGCATAAATAGTTATGCCAATCATTAACTATTAAATTCTTTAATCTGGGTTCTTTATGCTAATATTTATGGATGGAAACAGATTTATACATGCATACTGAGACCTAAATGATATACTTTAAGTTAGGAAACACAAGTGTTCAAGGCTTGAGTATTATTTTTCTCATCAAATCTTCAGTCGAATGATTCCAGAGGAGGTATTAGAATATTGGTGACATATTCTTTCTACTCACACTTTCAATCTTTTGATGTCCATTTTTGTTTCCAATCTGCCCTCAAATTATAAAGTGATTAAGTGAGAATTGGTTAAATTTTAGGGTTTTGAAATTTGATTTGTACTAATTTTGGCCAGCATTTTTTTTTTAATTCTTTGAAGTTTCCATTTCTATTTAGTTGTACTTATGTTTTTGTCTTGGCCTCTTATTTAGTTGTGCTTACTACTGCATCTGGTTACTGCCATTGGTTCAGAGGAAATGTGACGAGCTTGCTTTTACTTCTGGAGAACATAGAGAGTCAGTTAAGAATGTTGGAAACAAAGTTGTTTTGGGATCCAAGGGCAGTAATGTTTCGTCACATCAGCTTTCAGGTGCTATGTGCACCACTGCATTGTATACAGATGAGTTTGACTCTTCTGTGGCAATGCTAAATATTGTATGTTGGACTCCTTTTTAGTTTAAACTCTGTGTCGTAAGTATCTTTATCTTTTAATTTCAGCATATAAATTTTGTTAAAATATTTTGTTTGTTTGTTTTTGTGATTTTCATTTCTATAGGCCATTATTTGGTTCCATCTTCATGAGTACAGAAAGACATTGTCCGTTTTGGAACCCCTCTATCAAAATATTGAACCCATAAATGAGGTATATTTTGAATTAATGAAATGTTATATTATTCTGGAAGTTGCAATTTGTTGACTGCTTTGTTTTTGGATTCTTTTGGGGTTCTCTTTAAAAAAGCAGACAACAGCTCTACACATATGCCTGCTGCTACTTGATGCTAGCCTTGCTTGCCATGATGCCTCAAAATCAGCTGTAAGTTGCATTTATAATTGAACAAGTTTATTTGCAGCCTTTGTTGGACTTTGTTAGATTTTCAGAATTATTATCAACAGCTTCAAGTGTTGTTGATGAACTGTTGATCCCTGACTTTTATATTTTAGGGTTAAAGTGCAAATCCACCCCTGAACTATCATGCGAGAAGCAGTTGGTATTCTTAACTCTTACAAAGTGCAATATTCCCCTTGAGCTTTCAAAAAGAGTGCAATGTTTCCCTACATTAACGCATTCTGTTTTTTGACTGTGAATGAGCTATATTTGACTGTGAAATGCTTTGTTAGCTATGGCTTGACACTTGGCATATCCTATGTAAAAGTAGCATTCATATGGCTGAGTGTGGGAAATAAAAATCAGCAAACCACATTCAAAGTAAAAGGAAAAAATAAATCTAAAAACAAAGTCTAAAATTTAGAGGAAAAAAAAAAGGGATGGTGATGGAACTTGGATTTGAGGAAGTGGACAAGGCTGCTGGGTGTAAAAGGAGGAGCAAGATGATCGAGAAGTTGAAGCTCTATTGTTCTAGAAATGTCAATATTAATAGAGCTACTCAGATTAGTTCTGAATTGGGCATTCCCCTCACAAGAAACCTTGGCAAATACCTTGGTATCCCTCTTATCCACGAAAGGGCATCCAAGCTTACCTTTGCCCTTTTACTTGACAAAGTATGCTCTCGCCTTTCTAATTGGAGAAGTCGTTTCCTCAACATCGTTGGCAAGGCTGTCCTTATTAATTCTGTCCTTTTGGCCATTCCTAGCTACTCTATGCAGACCATGTTGTTACCTAATAATGTCCTAACTGAACTTGAGAGAAACTCTAGAAATTTTCTTTTGAGACTCTTCTGACGGACACAAAAAACCCCATCTTCTTTCTTGGGATTGTGTTACCACGGAGAAATTTTATGGAGATCTTGGCATCAAAAAGTTTAAAGCTTAAAATATTGCTTTTATCATGAAACTTGGTCTCATCACTCAACCTAATCGCCTTTGGGTCAGGATCCTCCATGACAAATATAAATCTCTTAAACCCACTATTCCTATGGTTTATAAACCTAGCTCCTCCTCATCTACTTGGAATAGCATGTCTAAAGTTTGGGATCGATTCATGGCACACGTCGGTTGGGAAGTTGGTAAGGGTGACCAAATTTCATTTTGGTATAGTAAGTGGTCCCTTCTTCCAGAACCTCTTGTTAAGTATGCTTTTTCTACTGCTGAGCACATTCTTCATGCAAGAGTTTCTAATCTTCGTAACCCCACAGGAGGATGAAATTTTAGCCTTCTAAACCGTCATCTCCATCCTGAGGTGATAAGACAAATTGCGCTGGTTCAACCACCTAATCCTAGTGGCGATGATGATGTACTTGTTTGGAGACCTTCTTCCGATGGGAATTTCTCTATCAAATCTGCTTACAAAGCTGTGGTCTCTCAAAAGGATCAAGCTAATGACAGCATTTGGTTTAAGATTTGAAAGTGGCCTGCATATGAAAAAATTAAGTATTTTCTCTGGAAAGCTGCTTGGGATAGACTTCTATTCAACTCCAACTATATCGAAGGGAATGCCCATTCTCAATGCATTTGCACCTTTGGTTGTAACATTCCGGACTCTTCTATTCACATTTTGAGAGATTGCATTGAAGCTCGTAATATTTGGATTAAACTTGTAAAACCTTCAAAACTTAATACCTTCTTCTCCCTTTCTGTGCAGGACTGGATATCTTGGAATGTCAAAGTTAAGGCGGGCAACCTAAATGAAAGAAGGATTTCTTGGCAGAAGCTATTTGCTCAAGTCTATTGGAACATCTAGAAGGTGCGCTGCAAAAGGATTTTTTTTGAAGATACTATTCAGGACATTGATATTGTCTTCTCTAGTACCCAACAAGTTATTAATGACATGAGGCTCCAATCAAAAGTTACCATTTTTAATCGTGATGGAAAAAGATTTGAAACATGTTGGAGACCTTCGGATACAAGTTGGATCTGCCTTGATGTTGATGGAGCTGTCGGTTCCAATGGAGTTGCATCCTGTGGCAAAATCATGCGTGATGACAAAGGTAACTGGATCAAGGGGTTCTCTAAATACCTTCTCTAAGTAACTGGATCAAGGTAACTGAACTTTTAGCCATTCTTGAAGGACTTCAGCTTTGTTGGAATATGTGGGGTTCTAATATCAACATACATTCTGACTATATGGAAGTCCTCTCACTTATTCAGCATAATATTTCTGACAATCATACTCTCTTTGGAACTATCAATAAAATCAAAGACCTTGTCATGAAAGATTGGATCATTACCTTCGATCACACGTTTAGGGAAGCAAATAGTTACACCGATTTTCTCGCTCACTAGACCTCTTAAGATAATTTAGATCTCATCATTTTTAATCATCTATCGCCGGGATGCAGATCCCACCTGGAATCTGATATGATTTGATTTGTACCATTCCCCCGCACGGTTTCCCATGGCTTTGTATTAAAAAAAAAAAGAGGAGGAGCAAGATGGTCTTAACGAAGTGAAGGAGGTGATGATAGTAAGGGTCGAGACTCAAGAGAAAAAGTAAGAGTAGGAAGTGGGGAAGGAGAAATATCAAGTGAGTCCAGAAGTTGAGGGTTGGGAATTTGAGAAAGGGGCAGTGATGATGACAAGGGTAATGGTTTAGCAATGGGATTCAGAAACTGCATCAAGGCCATTCGCCAATCAGGTTTCCATTGGTTTGGATGCCAAGATCAAGTTTTTGTTTGTCGGCCTTTTATTCTCCTGTTTTTTTTTTGGTAAAAATTCTTTTATTTTCTTACATTGCATTGATCTCATGCTTTACTTTGAAGAAGCGAAACACAAATATTGGGGGAAGGGATCGCAAGTAGAGGGTGGCAAGATCGTTCACCATTCTAAGTCCAGAGCCATTCAGTCAGTCTGGATCACCTAAGTGTGAAGTCCAGATTTGCCTCATCCCTAGTCCTCACATTAGGCCTTTCATTATATTATTATGCATTTAGATCTTCTCTCAGTGTTGATGTTTCTTGAGTTTAGGGTTCCGATTTTCTTTTTCATTTGATTTTCATATTTTGGGTTTGTTGTGAATTTCTAGGCTTCATCTTCTTTGTTGGATCTTCTTCTTGAGATTTCATAGAAGCTACCCATGTTTGAATGACAAATAAGCAAAGTTTTAATCGAGAGAGAAAAAAAAAGTGAGGGAGACGCCACATGGGCATGCCACCTAAGCCAATCAACTAACAGTCAAATGTTTTGATCTGTTAAATTTGGGTGACATTGCTCTGTTTAAAGGTCCAGGGCAACATTGCAGTTTTTAAGAGTTAAGGATATCGACCCCTTGCATGATAGTTCAGGGGCGGATTCACACTTTAACCCTATATTTTAGGTGTGTTGCAGGTGTTTGGACATTTGAGTGGTGAGACTGAGTGATTTTTTTGAAATATACAGTGATATAAATATCGCTGATGCTTGTGAGTTTCTTATTTTATGACTGCTCCTTTTGTGTCAAAGTGAACCAAAGCTACCAAGTATACTCAGAGTAATCATTGATCAAAATGACAAAGTATAGAAATCTAGTCAATGAGTTTTGACTTACATGAGTTTCTTATTTATAGTGCATGTACAAGAAAATGCTATAATGACTAATTATATAATAATATCCCTATTAATAACAAGATCACGTAACATGATCTCCTTGATTTTTTACCATCATCACAATTATTAGCATAATCAATCATAATCAACTGATTCCTTATCGTTAATATGTTTTGAGGAAGAATTGGGTTGCCCCTGGAATTGGTCATAGAAGTAGGGAGTTCTAAAGATTAACTATGTTTGCTTTCCTTCTTGGAATGTGGAGGGGCAGGACGACCTTTGTTGTAGTTATGTTTGTTTTCTCTCTACTATTGTTTATGGATGATTTCTTATCCTATATGTTCATATAGTCACTTAATTTTCTTTGTTCATTACAATTTTGTTATTGTTTTTTTATTACTTTTTTTATGATTAGGTATTGAGAATATTTTAATTGGTTTGATTTCAGAAGTATCTACTAGTTATTTTGTATTTAGAAATTTGTCATACATATTTCAGATAATGCTTGGTATGGTAGAATTATAGTAATGTAAAATATGGGTTTCGAATATGCCAAGAGTTTTTGTGATACAAAGGAACACACACACACACACACACACACACACACAGGAGAGTTCTTTCTTCTTGCTCTAGATTATGAGCATATTTTGAAGTGATTTTGATCATTAGTTTAGTACTTTTGGTAGTTAAAAAAAAAAAAATTCTGGACACAATATGTGTGAGGAGCTTATAGATTTTATTTTTGGGTTTTGTTTTTGTTTTCTATAAGCCTTTCACAAGTGCAAAATCCTGATGCTGGAATCTGGTTTGTCAGGATGTTTTGTCTTATCTGGAAAGGGCATTTGGTGTTAATGTAAGTCAAGGCGACAATGGAAGCATAGCACAGCAACAATCTGCAAACGTAATTACCAAGCCCTCATCAGCCCCTAGTGGTCCATCAGTTGCAGATGCGTCGGTTCTGATCTGGGGTCAATTGCTAATGCGCCTGAAAATCATCTGTCTAGAGCTTTTTCTGAAGAGGCCCTTGATTATGAAGCCATGATACTGGATATGGGTGGACAAAATTTAAGCAGGCCAACTGGCATATCTTCAAATGACCTATCAAGAGTATCGGTTGATAGGTTTTCTAATGTTGAGTTGAAGCTTAAATTTCAACTTTACAAGGTTGAATTTTTGCTGCTAACTAGGAATTTGAAGTTAGCAAAACGTGAAGTCAAGCTGGCTATGAACATTGCACGTGGAAGAGATTCTTCAATGGCTCTTCTTTTGAAATCTCAGCTTGAATATGCTCGTGGTAACCACCGCAAAGCAATTAAGCTATTGATGGTAGCAAACAACCAGACAGACACAGCGTTTTTGAGCATTTTCCACAACAATCTTGGTTGCATTTACTATCAACTTGGGAAATACCAGACATCATCAGTGTTTTTCTCAAAGGCATTGACTAATTGTTCATCCCTTAGGAAGAACCAACCACTAAAACTACCGACTTTCTCACAGGATAACACTCTTCTTATCATATATAATTGTGGTATGCAGTACTTGGTTTGTGGAAAGCCATTACTTGCTGCTCGCTGTTTTCAGAAGTCTAGTATTGTCTTATACAATAAGCCTCTCTTGTGGCTTCGGCTCTCGGAATGCTGTCTAATGGCTTTGGAAAAGGGCCTAATTAAATCAAGTTGTGTTTTATCAACTAGGTTGGAAGTTGGAGTACGTGTTGTTGGGAATGGGAAATTGAGGCAACTTGTATTGAACGATGGGATTCCAAGATATGGATGTGTAGAGTTGCTTGACAGAGATGACTGTCATCTCAAAAATGATATGCAGCTGAATTTATCGATGCCTCTGGCCCGGCAGTGCCTCTTAAATGTCCTATACTTGCTTGACTCCAACAAGAAAGATAGGTTAAAATATGAAATGCCTTTAAATTCAAGGGAGGAAAATAATTCTGGTGAAGTGTCATCCAACAATTCAAACAATAAGAATTTACTTGGAATCGATTCCAAGGCATTTTCATTAGCGTTAAACTCAGGTCAGGCTAATTCAAACGGGGACATGAAAGAACAAAAGGGAAGTACTAATCAAGAAGTCATTCAGAGCTCCCTTTCCTATTATGAAGATACTTGCAGAAGAGAAAATTTATTGATTAAGCAGGTAGCTCTTGCTAACCTGGCATACGTGGAATTGGAATTGGATAACCCTGTTAAGGCGTTGTCAGTTGCAGCATCACTTCTAGAACTTCCAGAATGTTCTAGAATATATCACTTTCTAGGCCATGTTTATTCAGCAGAGGCCCTTTGCTTGCTAAACAGACCAGCTGAAGCTGCTGAGCATTTGTCAATTTATTTGTCTGGGGGAAACACTGTTGAATTGCCTTTCAGTCAAGGGGACTGCAAGAAATGGCAAATGGATAGAACTGCTGTATGTGAAGATGGAACTGGAGGATCTGTGACTGCCAACATTTCCTCGTCTGATGACTCGCAATGCATCGATTGTCTCAAGCCAGAAGAGGCACGGGGAATAATCTATGCAAATTTTGCAGCATTATCTGCAATGCAGGGTGAGTTAGACCAAGCCCATCAATTAATAACCCGGGCATTATCCATATTGCCAAACAGTCCAGAAGCCACACTTACTGCAATTTATGTGGATCTCTTGCTAGGTAAGCCGAAAGAAGCTTTATCCAAATTAAAAAAATGTAGCCGCGTTAAGTTCCTTCCAAGTACAATTACATCGAACAACTCGTAGAGTCTTGTATTCATGGGCTCTATCATTTCTTCCTGGTCTTCTTCTCGGGTCCAGTTAGCAGGTAGCTTAATCTTTCCATAGCATTTATAACATATATATAAGTTCAGCTATTCAGAGAATAAGTATTGATGGTTCATTTATTCCTTTATAATTTTTAAATGTAGAAGTCATTCATAGGTGGTGGCTGTCTTTTAATTATTGCTACTGCCACCTTAGAAATTTGAAGTGTAATTTTTGTCGAGATTGTATCTTCACAGGCTAATTTAGTTAATATCCAAATGTGGAGTTCGTGCTAACATTGAGAAAGAACAGGAATATTTTATAATCTCTTTTTCAATCTAACTCCATCCTTATTTCCAGAGGCTTGGTTGTGTTTGATTCTAGAACCCTCATTTGTTCTAATTCTTTTCTGTATAGATTGATCCAATTTACCGTTACATTTCCCAGTTTGCAGTGTTTGAGTGTTATATGTGATAGTGGAATGATTGTTGGTACAAAATGACATTATTTTGGGAATGTTAATAAGTATTACTATATTTAATTGCTTATATTTTTATTAACTATTTAGCTTTTTTAATACGAATGTTGTAAACCTCTAATCTTCAACGTACCGGGTGATCTTGAAATTGAACTTGGTGGTATTGTTCAATATAGATGTCATTGAAGTCATTAAATAAATTTAATTTCAACAAATATTTTGATGATTTTTAGTTTATTTTAATTATAATTTATAATTGTGGGAGGATATTAACTTTTGCTTAGAATTGGATGTTTCAATATGAAAATTTACCGACATTAGTTTTTAATCAATATTGTAAAATATAAATTGAAAATGAATTTATTTAATAACGAGATAACTTATTTTGTAGCGGCATGTCCTAGCTTTGCTGAATACTCAAACTAATTCCGCAGAAATTTGAGAGTAGTTTGGGGGTTTCCTTCTAGGAGAATAGCAATGAGGGCTTTCAGAAGCAACAATATTGCTATGCAGGTTTAAAAAATCTAAAATACCTTTGCATGTCCCAAAGTTCTCACTACAGTTAAATATATCATTGAAATAATACAAATGCTTCTGTCTCTGTTTTCCCCACAAAATATCATTGTTGCAGGCATGAGCGGTTGAATCTGCTCGAATGTGTTAAGGAGTCAATGGGAGATTTGAACCCTTGACTACTTGATTGTCTAAATATGGCCTGCCATTAAACCATCAAAATTATTTAATTTTATTTTGCAAAATATAATATGTATTATAACTTTTGTTTTTAAGCATTTATGTGAATTGTTGAACTTGGACAAGTTGTTAATATAGAATCACTTATAAATATTTGAATAAAACTTATTAATGCTTTTAAAACCTCACTTGTTTGATTTTTCACAACTTGTTTTAATATTGACAAGTTATTAATATTATGTGAAATAAAAAATATGTTAAAAATTATTTTTCAAGTATTTTCATGACTTTTGGTTAATCATGGATGAATAATTGTTAATAACTGAGCAACTCTTGTAAATATTCAAATATGAGTTTTAAATACATAAAAAAATTGGCAATTTTTATAACTTAACTTGGTCAACTATTTAAAATTTAGTTTTAATATTGACATGTTATTAATATTATGTTAAATAAAAAATATATATGTTATAATTCATTTTTCAAGAAATTTCATGAGTTTTTGTTAATTATGGACATTTTGTTAATAACTGAATAATCACTTGTAAATTTTTAAATATAACTTGCTAATTATAGATGCCTTGTTTTAAAAATTGGGTTTTAAAGATTGACTTGATTAGTGATGTTCATATTTACATGTGATTTTTCATATATTAGCAAGGTGTCGATAATTAACAAAATACAATGAAAATGCTTAAAACATAAATTTATAACATTATATTTTTTTTTACTTAACATAATATTGATAACATATCAATATTAAAGGAACAAGTGAAAGAAAAAAAAAATTGTAGTATTAAAATTTGACAAGTTTTTTTATGTGTTATAAAGTTATGTTTGAATATTTATAAATGATTATTCGGATATTAATAATAACTCATCCATGATTAACGAAAGTGCATGAAAATGCTTGGGAAATAAACTTATAACAAATAGTTTATTTTATTTGGCATAATATTGATAACTTATCAATGGTGAATGAATAAGTTGTGAAAAATTGAAGACATTGAGTTTTAAAAATTGTCAACTTTTTTATACATTAACAAATTATATTTGAATATTTAAAAGTGATTATTTGGATACTAACAATAGCTCATCCATAATTAATAACTCACATAAATGCTTCAAAATAAAAGTTATTTTATATATATATATATATATAATATTTTGTAACATATAACAAAAGAGTTTTAATGATTTAGTGGTAGTCTATTTTTTTAGAAAACCAAGGAGTCAAGAGTTTAAAACCCCCCAAAAAAAAAAACATTTGAACACCTATGCAATCAAATATGAGATTCACAATATGTCAATCTCTTAAATCTTCTTACTTTTATTCTCAATTTCAACTTGAGAAAAAGAAGTTGAAAGAGTTTTTATGAAGATGACCTCAATAAAGTAGAAGAAATAAGTCATTACTAAATTAAGTTAGAATCAAGCTTATCTCACACATAGTAAAATCAAGCTTCTACCTCGTTGATATTGTCCTCATGAATGTCTGAGAAATAAAGTAAGAAGATTGAAGAAATTAATGTGCTGCGAGTCTCATAAATTTAAAAATAAATAGTGGTTGGTTAAAATTGATGAGAAGGTGCTCGATAGTCTATATTTTTTTTATAATATAGGCCACCCAATATTTTTTGAAAAATAATTCATAGCTAAACTTGCACCTTTATACATGCTAAGATGGAGTACCACGTGTCACTTAAGTCAAAATTTCGTGAGCCCTACATGAAAGTTAACATCCGTTAAGTCAAAATTAATGAAAGCTACTTGATACTTTATTTTTTAAAGTTGAGAAGTTATTTCGCATCACTTGATAGTATGAGTTACTTCGTGTTTTTGAAAAAATAGTTGGTGGCCAAATTTGCAACTTTACCCTATATAAAATTGGTTGTTAATTTTTAAAACCTAGCTTGTTCAATTTTTTTAATACTTGTTCTTTCAATATTGATAATTTTTTAATATTATGTTAAATAAAAAATATATATGGTGTAAATTTATTTTTCAAGTATTTTTATAGGCTTTTGTTAATTATAAACATCGTAATATTAAATTCTAAATAATTACTTACAAATATTCAAACATAAGTTGTTAATTATAGATGCCTTGAGTAATTGTTCCAATATTAAGAACAAGACATTCATAATTAACAAAAGCCTATGAAAATATTTGAAAAAATTTATAATATACATTATTTTATTTAGCATAATATTGACAACTTATCAATATTAAATGAATAAGTTGTAAAAAATCAAACAAGTTTGGTTTGAAAAATTTATAATTTTTTTAATATTAACAAGTCATATTCAAATATTACAAGGAATTTTTTAAATATTAATAACCCATTCATGATTAACAACAGCTCATATAAATACTTGAAAACAAAAGTTATAATTTATATATTAAAAGATAATGATCCCCCCTCTATTTTACCTTAATTACAATACTTCTCCTTTAAATTTAAAAATCATATTAATTTTTATTAAAGTTAATAGTCATCAAACAAAAACCTTCATTCTACTTTCAAGATTTCATTTCATTCACATAACTATTAGTTAACTGTTAAATTATATATATTTGATCAAAATACCCTTCTTTAAATGTAAATGTTATCAAAAAATTAGTTGAGCTATTAAAAAAAATTATTGCATATATGTTTATTTTTTGAATTCATATTTTAAATTTTTTAGTTATGCAAAAAAAAATAAATAAAAGTTTGGAAAAAAAATATTTCAAACACAAGAAAAAAATTATTTAAATAAGAATTTAATATAATAAGAGATAAATCAGTCAATACAACTTATTTTATTTTTCTATAAATTTTATAATTTTAATAAAATATTTTAAAATTTTTATTTAAATACTGCCATGCTTAATTATTTAAAGTTCTTTAACTTGGGGAGAGAGAGAGAGAGATAAAATAGTTAGATTTTAAAGACAGCTCTACATAATTATAAATAAAAAATTAAGTATTTTAGAATTTTTAATGAAATATTTTTAGTAGTGTTAAAAATTGAATTAAAATACATATTCTGAAAAGAGAAAAGAAGGGAGGCCACAATATTCTATTATAAGAGACACACACGCACGCACACACACAAGTAACATATAATTAAAAAGGTTTAAAGGTTTAGTAGTAGTTTATATTTTGAACAATCAAGGAGTAAAGGGTTTAAATTTTGCCTTGGCACATTTGACCAGATTTGATCTTCAATAGCAGCCTCCCCGCTATCAATAGAGCTTCAACAACCGGTCAATGATGGCAACCCTTTAAAAAAAAACAAAGGCAGGGGCATTTATGCTATTTTCACTATACATTTAATTGCACTGAGGACCTTTGGGCTTCTAGAAGAATTTTAGATTTCTTTGAATTTGCATAGCAATATTGCTGCTTTAAATTTCCCTCATTGCAACTCTCCCTTTCTTTTACTTCAATTCTTGTCAAATTTGTCTTCCAGAATGTTAAGTTTTTTTTATTGTTCATAGGTATTTTCTTACTAAAGATAATTCTATTTAAGACATAATATGGGTGCCTCTCATAATGAGGATTTGAACCTTTATTTGTCACACCTTTATTTGTCACATGGTGACATCATGTTGTGAGGAACTAGCCCCTTCTACTAGATTGAATATTTTAAGAATGCCAAATTTACTTATCTTCAAGTTGTAAGGTGTAATATCCTAAAAATTTAAACTTGATTAACTATGTGTAATTAGGGTAATTAAGTTTAATCTTTTGATGTGGTGTGTGGCCAAAAAGATTTAATAAGTGTGTTTGATTGTGATTTTAGCTCTAAAAATGGGTCTAAAGTGAAGTTAGACCATCCGGATATTAAGAGTGGAGGAAAAAGTGAAGAAAGGTTGTTTGCGCCACATGTCACGATGCGAGGAACGTCTGCCACAGTGTATAGATGCAACCAATGTAAATTGGGCCTCTCTATGCCATGCGCCGCTGCGGGAGGCTGCATGGGCTGTGGCACATGGCTAAAATCCTACATAAGTCAATTCGTGTTTGCATGAAAGATTAGATGAGAAGAGATGGAGAAAATGAAAGGCACAAAATTGCTTTGCTAAGACATGAAGTTGGGATTCATTGGAGATAATGTGGAGCTTCCAAACACCTAAGGTAAGTGCATTGTATTTCTCTTCTCCTTTTCTTCCATTTTCATGAGGAGTTAAGTTAGGGTG